CGTGCCCTTCTTACCTGCGCGCCGCGGCGCTGGGGGTGAACCGAGAACTCGCGACTCCCGCGCGCGTGGGACGGAGAGGAGAGCGTGCGACCCCTGGCTGCCTAATCCAGTTCCGCGGCACTTCTCGCTGTTATGAAAATAGAGTCACCGTGCCAGAGAATGAACCGAAGGCCTCCCTGACGTCAGAAGCACAGTCACTCATGAAATAAGGCGGCGGGGTTGTGGGGTGAGCACCCGAGTGTGCCATGCGTAGCTCCCCACGACGAGCGCTCCGGCCAGACCCGGAGCGCGGGCAAGAAAAAGGCCACACGGTGAACCCCGCTACGGATGAGCACTGCCACTGTCATCTCCTAGAGAGAGCCACACCCATCCTCCCCGAGGGCACTCCGAAGCCCCAAGGGCAAAGACCTAGCCAGCAGCTGCCTGCCGCTCCTTTGTTACTTTTTGCGGGAGAAATAGGTCTTTATTTCCCCTTGGCATCACCCCGCATCATCACTCCGGTGTGCAGGGAGCCAGGCTTAAATGAAAAAGATGGCCACCCTCTTGTGGGTCCCCCACCCCCAGTCAAGGAAAAGGGGGAAAAAAAAAAAAAAAAAAAAAAAAAAAAACAAGGAAAAGTCCCCTGGGAACCCAAAGATGGTTCAGCGAGGCCACTTGTTGGAACTACAGTGGCATTAGCCAGGATAGAACAGCCCTGGGCTGAGATCATATCGTCATCTTCCTAACCAGCTCTCCAAAAGTTTGACACAGCAGGTTGACAGGAGCAGGACACCAGATAAAATTTTGAAAGGAAGGAATTTGCCTTCGGTGTCTGATTCCACCTGTCTGGGCAGGTGCCCGCAGCTCTTCCATTATCAGGCCAGTCTGGCTGACACCTGCTCAGTGGTCAGAAAGTCCTGGAATGTGTTGCTGGGTCGGGTTCTACCCCGACACCTTGGTGGGCTTGGGGAATTGGTCATTTAAGGCGGTGAGGAAGGCCTAGGAAAATGGTTCTCAACCTTCCTAATGCTGCAACCCTTTAATACAGTCCCTCATGTGTGGTGACCCCCAACCATAAAATGATTTTCATTGCTACTTCATAACTGTAATTTTGCTACTGTTATGTATGACTCGAAATGTAAATATCTGTGTTTTCTGATGATGGCCGTAGGTGACCCCTGTGAAAAGGTTGTTCGGCTCCTACAGGGGTTTCAACCTACCAGTTGAGAACCACTGACCTAGGGAACCCAAAAAAAAAAAAAAATCGCCTTTCTTTGCTCCACACCCTTAAGTGCGTTTTAAAATGTAACAAGCTGGGCATGGAGGTACACCCCTTGATCCCAGCACTTGGGAGGTGGAAACAGGAGGATCCGGAGTTTGAGGTCATTCTGGGCTACAGAAGACCCAGTCCCCAATAACAAAACCAGAAGGTGACTTGCTACAAATGACAGCGCATGCCTGTAATGTCAGTATTTGGGAGACTGAAATGGGAAGATGCCCACCAGCCTGCACCACATAGGCAGTGTGGGGCAGTGGGGACTACTGGCAAGAGCCTGTCTCAGAGAGACACAGGAGACGGCTTAGTCAGGAAAGCATGTGCTGCCCAGCCTGGTAACCCAAAATCCACACGAAGAAGGTCGAAGAGGAAGCAAAGCTGTCCTCTGACCTGGTGAGTGAAACACACACACACACACACACAACACAATAGAAAAAGAGAGGGAGAGAAAGACTTTTCATGAGCTTACGTTATGGTGTGCAAGGTACTGGGTTCAAGCCCCAAGATGGGAACACTCTGAGTCTTTGGACACCATGCCTCTGTTGATCTCATGCCCAGGAAACCACAGCCAGTAAGTACCTCTGTTTGTTTGTTTGTTTGTTCGTTCGTTCATTTGTTTGTTTCGAGACAGGGTATCTCTGTGGCTTTGGAGGCTGTCCTGGAACTAGCTCTTGAGATCCACCTGCCTCTGTCTCCCCAGTGCTGGATCAAAGGCATGCGCCACCACTGCCCAGCCCAGTAAGTACCTTAACTTGGCCATTACCTAGAGGCCTGTGGGTCAGAGGTCTTCAAGCACACTCTTACTCTCCTGGAACTCAACAAGGGTCAGGGGTCTTTGAGAATGACAGGGCTGAAAAGGGCTTCTCTCTGAGCTTCTACTATGTCATCTACAAAAACTTGAACTGGACCATTGCACAAGAGAACCAAATTCTAGCCGTGTATGTATACATTGAGCAGCACAGTTTCCAGCAGCTGAGTTATAAGACGTAAAAGAACACAGGGGAGCTGGGCATGGTGGTTCACACCCATTGTCCCAGCACTTGAGAGACTAAAGGTGGGGTGGGGGGGAGGGATGACTGTTATTGATTCAAGAATACATATTAAGTGCCAAACATGGGCTATAAAGTGAGACCTTATCTCAAGAAGAAGAAAAAAAAAGTGAAGAAGAAATGAGAGAAAAAGGAATTAACTTTATCATATATTTAAATGAATAGATCCCCAAATAGGATCATCTCAATACGTTTTAAAATATGAGGCCAGGGGGTGAGGGTGATGGAGAGATGACTCAGCAGTTAAGAGCGCTGATCTTCCAGAGGACTTGAGTTCAATTCCCAGCGCTCACATGGTGGCTCGGAACTGTAACTCTAATTTCAGGAGACCAGATGCCCACTTCTGGCCTCTATGGGTACCCATGACATACCCAGTACACAGACACACGTGCAGACAAAACACTCGCCCACAGAAAACATTCTTTTTAGTGAAGCAAGGGCCAGGTGAGACGGATGACTCGTGGGTAAAAGTGCTGCCATGAACCCTGATTTAATAAGTTTTGTCCCTGAGTCCCACATAGTAGAAGGAGAGAAACAACTTCTGCAAATTGTCCTCTGACCTCCACATGTGTGTCATGGCATGTACTCGCATACATGTGTGTTGTGACATGTACTCAGACACTAAATAAGCAAGTGCACAAATAAATGTAATTTTAAATTGGTTTTAGTTATAAATAAATATAATACAGAACTAGACAAGATGACATATGACCATAATCCCAGCACTTGGGAGGCTGATACTGGAATATATATATATATATATATATATATATATATATATATATTCATATGTATATATATATATATGCACACATATATAGAGAGAGAGTTATTTTGCATTATTTTGTGAAACTATGTCCTCAAAAGTCCATGCCAGTTTAGACCAGCCATATATCAGGGGTTCAAAAGTCATGTGTGGCTAGTGGCTGCCACCTCGGACAGCACAGAGCTAGCTGTCATTGAGGGCACTTCCAGCCCTGACATTTTAGGGTCTGAGTCACTATTTCTGGGGTGAGGCTCATGACATCAAGCATAAGATGTAAGGTCTGAGGTGGAAATAAGAGCAAAGGGGACAAGATTTCTTCTTTGCCACCCGCCACTTGCCCTGATGCCCATTACACTCTAGAATCTATAGTCCAGCTGATGTCTGGTTGACTGGTCCAGGCCTATGGCTAAGAAACCCTTTGTATGGGAAGGCTCTCTCTCTCTCTCTGTCTCTCTCTCTGTCTCTCTCTCTGTCTCTCTCATCCTTATATTTCACTTTGCCATTGATTTTGGATGCCCACATGTCATGTAAGAATTTCCTCCTAATTGAAACATTTCCCTCCTGGAGGAAAATCCATAAGACTCTGGGAGCTAATGAGAGTTACAGGGCCCCACCCCAAGGTTACATAAGAAGTTAACAATTATTAGAGTGGAGACTCTAAGGTGGAGATGCCTGCAAGCTGGGCAGAAAACACCAAGGAAACTTTTATGAGTCATCACCCGGTGCTGGAGTGGACTTTTTAGTGCTACCTTTGAGTCACCCATGCTCCCATAAGTCACCTTTTAAGCGTGCCCCAGTAAGTAACCCAGTGAGCTCATTGGTTCTCTGGGCTAGACTTGGGTGGAACTGTTTCTTTGGGCTACAGTCAGGGCCCTGTCTGGACTGAGCAGACATCTATTCATGTCACCCTGGGGAAAGTCCTGGAACACTGCCTTGGCCTTTAACCACCCTCTCCTGTCCTCCTTTGGTTTTTTAAAAATGTATTTTGTTTTATAGCATGAATGTTCTGCTTGTATGTATGTATGTATGTATGTATGTATTATATATGTGTGTATTTATGTGTACCAGGTGCAGTCCTGGTACCCAGGGATATCAGATCCCCTGGAACTGGAGTTACAGATGGTTGTGAGTGGCCATGTGGGTGTTGGGAACCAAACCTGGGTCTTCTGTAAAAGCAACCAGTGCTCTTAGCCACTAAGCCATCTCAGCAGCCCATATTGTTTATAAAGCTGGCCTGTGAGTCACCCACAGTAGTCACACAATGGGAGGCTGAGACAAGGAGATTGCTATGAGTTTAAGATGATCTTGAGCTAGAGAGTGAATCCAGGTGTTGTGGAATAATCCTTTTGTACACTGTAAAGATGTGCCACTCTGATTGGTT